ACTAACGATTGATGATTTCTAACTTGTTTCACTTTCATTCACAAAGCGGAGAATCCTTGACTAGACCTTGAGTCTCGACTAAAGGAACAAGGCCCTCTTGAGTCAATTGCCTAGAGGGACGTATCCTTTTCTAGAACAACCGATCAAGGCGTTCTGAACTAGATTCCCTCTATCGAATGAGGTTCTCAATCGATACAAAGCAGTGAACCAACCCTCTACTAAAGCAATCGATCCAATACTATCAATCTATGGTGCTCTATTGACCTAATCAGGTATTCGCTCTCATAGGATCAAAGCAGAATCAATAATCTCGACTAAAGCATAATTGAATCATGAAAACATGCATAGATTGAATATGAACTCAAGATTATCAAGTCAGAGTACATATACAATCATCCAATCAAACAAACATATCTAGGGTTCCTCAAAACCTAAGTGAAGGGAAGTTACTCCATAGAGAAGAGAGAGACTGCAGTAAGAATCTTCAGATGATCAGTCTTCAAGTCCGGGCTTGTTCCTCGAGCTTCCAAGGTGAATAAATCCTCCAATTCCACTCTTAGAATGCCCTCAAATCGCCCTTTCTCTCTTTGGTTTGTCCCTTGGGTGTTTGGGATCCAAAACCCAGCTCTCCCTCTCCTTTGGCTCGAAATTGGCTTAAAAAACCCGATTCTACGCAAAACACTGTTGAGGACACGGCCGTGTTTTGCTTTTGCCTGCCCGTGTTTTGCCCCGTGTTAAAAACACACCCGCGCGCGTCGGCCAAAACACGGTCGTGCCTAAAAATGGGCACGGCCGTGTTTTGATTTAGGCGCGCCTGTGTTTTTATTGCCGAACCTGTTCCCCTATATTCAATGCTTCGTTTTTCCCTCGTTCGGACTCCGAACCAGTTGTCTTTTGATCCCAGACGCTCGTAGTCTTGTCCTCTTTCTTTTCATGACAAGCTTGCATGATTCTTTGTCCATAAAGTGAGGTAGAAATCCATTCTTCTTCAGGTCATGCCCGAGTTTCTTCTCCCGAATCGCCAATTGATCTCTGATTGACTTGAAACTTGCGCCTATGCTTCAATTTATGTGCTAGGACCTGAAATCTGACAAAGGAACACAACCTAGTGTAAAATAGGCCAAAGACGCGATAATTAAAGCTCAAATGATCAAGAAACAAAGGGGAAAACATGTGCAAATATCGAGTCATCATCCACCCTATCCCCAACAACAACAAAAACACTAAATAGTCTTTCTATTGTTCATTTTTGGAGCTGCGTACTTTGATAACTACGAGTACGGGTTCCGTGCTTGTAACAGAATCCATAAGGAAAATTTTTACGGACGATCTCCTTGTACTTTCTGTGAAGTCCATTGAGAAAGATGTTATTGAGGACATATTATGAATGTCTATGACTCGAGCAATGATGAATCATTGCATTAAAATCTTTCATAAGCCTCATAAAAAATACGTCTTCTCCTTGTTGGAAAGTGAGGATTTACTTACAGAGGAACGCACCCATTGAACTGACAAGATATCAGAAGACAAAGCTCTCCATGATTTAACCCCATGGTGGAAAAGTGGAAGCCATAAGTTCTTTCTACCCGTTACTGGGTTCCCTCTCCAAAGAGTACGTGAATATGAAGCTATTGACTTGATTTTGATTGTATCCTTATAATTTCACGGCCTTGGAAAAACAATATACTACTATATATGTAGTAAGAATAAACTAACAACTCTATGATTTTCAACTAGTTATTGAAGTTCCTCGCCAACAACGTCAAAAACTTGGTGTGCGCTACTACCCCCATGTGGGTTGTGCCAATCGTTTGCACGACCTATCTAACTACCCAATTCTGAGCCAAGTATAACTCATAACGAGATTGCTTGTATAGTGGCTACCAAGTTCGTTTTGCACGTGTCTCGATACCCTAGGCTACTTCTCACTTCATTGTTATCTAGTTAACTAGTTTAGGTTTTTAGGTTGGCGGTCGATTGGAAAATACTGGTGGAAAAAAGCAAAGATAAAAGCAAGGTACTTCGGGATGACACGCTCTCCCTAAACAATAGGTTCACCATGTAAATGGCTTACTAGGTCAGGTTTAATGTGATAAGATGTGAAACTCTTTAATATAGGGATTTCAATGATTACTCTTCTTCCGACTAACACGACCCACAAAGATCCAATATCACCTCAGTCTAAGTTTGTGTGCCAAGTTTGCTCTCATAGTTCCTCTCAATAGGTTTAAGCTACCATGCATACTGGATCGGTGCTTTGATTACAACCAGAAATTCTCGTTGGCTGCTCCAGAAGACCGCGCCCTCGGATCCAGACTTCGTGGTCGCAATATGAACAGTGTCGGCCACTATCTCTGTTTCTTGGTTCACGCCCTTACTTCGTGATCTCTCTATTTTCTTCCATAACTATACACCTATGCTCATTTTTTGTACCTAAAACATACATATCATCTAATACACAATAGAATACCGATATTTTGTCCGAGGAATGAAACAAGGGCATATTTGACGATATATTGGCAATGAAGAACATAAAATGACTGAAAACAAGCCTAAATATGGGTTCCAATTAACACCAATTTGAGTGTCAGCTATCAGGTATCACTAGAGGGTAATTTCTTAACAACCTAGATGATACTAAGCATAGCTACACGAGTATAGAGAGAATGATAAACTATCTATACGTCTAGTAGTATTCATACTTGGTTGTTAGATCATACTTTATCATATGTTATCATCACTTCTGTGTTTTTCATTGATTAGGTGATGGAATGAAAGCACGCATTAGCTAGTCAAGTTCTATTGCACGTAGCGAAAGCTCAAGTTGGATGACCTTAGTGCAAGGGATAGAGTGATGTTATAGATGAGTCATTGATGATATGATTGAGAACTAGTATATGTGATGATACTCGAAGTTTACTTTCATGTTCAATACCGTATTTTTACTTTTATACATCTATAACTTGAAAAATCACAAACTCGCATCAAACTACCCACTGCTCAGCCCCTAAATTAAGAATAGGGTTGTGTGAAACCTTTTGTTTCATTGAATTGAGAAGAAGCTTTACAAGCAGTATATATAGGCTACACTACAAGGAAACCCTACCATTTAAAACGGTCACTAAACAGTAATTAGCTAACTATTATCAACAAACAATTGAAATCAGTCAATGAGAGGAACACGGGTGGCTAAGCTCGATTGAGCTAAAGTGAGCAAAAAATGGGACGACGTCGTGCTGTGCAAACGACGTCGTAGTGTGCTTCTCAAGCAGTAGAGACAGCTGATCTCTGAAGTGGGCTTCGCTCTCTTCTGTCTTCGTGTTGGGCCTGTAAGTCAGCGAGGCCCACTACCCATCTTCTTCTTTCCTTCAGACCCCCCCCCCCTCAAGCTGAGGAGTGTAAATGTTGAAAACTCCTAGCTTGAGAAGAAGGAAATGCAGTCTGTGGCGACTCAATGCTTTGGTAAATAGATCAGCTAGTTGAAGTTCAGACCTGACATGAGTCACCGTGACGATCTTCTGTAAAATGTGTTGTCGAATCAAGTGGCAATCCACTTCAATATGTTTTGTTCTCTCGTGCAAAACAGGATTGTGTGCAATGTGGATGGCTGACTGGTTGTCACAGAACAGGGCTGCTGGTTCTGTGCAGTTGACCCCCATCTCAGATAGCAGTTGTTTCAGCCATACCATTTCACAAGAGAGCATTGCTAAAGACCTGTATTCAGCCTCAGAAGAGGATCTAGACACTGTTTGTTGTTTCTTAGCTCTCCAAGTGATAAGTGAGTCACCTAAGAAGGTGCAATAGCCTGTTAAAGATCTTCTTGTATCAGGGCAAGCTGCCCAATCTGCATCTGAGTAGCCCTTTAACTGGAGTGTTGTTCCAGATTTAAACAATAAGCCTTGTGTTGGATGGCCTTTAAGATACCTGAAGACATGATGAACAACTTGTAGATGTTGATCTGTTGGTTCCTGCTGGTATTGACAAAGCTGTTGTACAGCATATGTAATATCTGGTATGGTGATTGTTATGTATTGCAATTTCCCAACCAGCCTCCTATATGATGTTGAATCTGATAACAAGTTCCCAGCTCCTGCAGACAGTCTGGTTTTCATGTCAATTGGGGATAGAGCTGGCTTACAACTGAGAAATCCAGCCTCCTTCAACATATCCAAGCAGTACTTTCTTTGACAAACAAAAATACCCTTTGAGCTTCTGGCTATCTCAAGCCCCAAGAAGTATCTAAGCAGTCCCAAGTCCTTGATCTTGAACTCTTTAGCAAGAAACTGCTTTGCTTGATCAATCATTGAATCATCATTTCCTGCCACAATAATATCATCTACATAGACCAAAAGGATGAGAATAGATTGATCCTGAACCATGGTAAACATGGAGTAATCTGCTTGGGATTGTGCAAATCCATACTTGAGCAAAGCAGTAGTGATTTTGGAAAACCATTGCCTACTTGCCTGCTTCAAACCATACAATGACTTCTTGAGTAAACAAACCTGTCTATGTTTAGATTGTTTAAGTTCTAACCCTGAGGGAACAGCCATATAAACAAGTTCATCCAAGTCTCCATGAAGAAAGGCATTACTTACATCCATTTGATGTAAGTGCCAGTTCTTAACTGCTGCAACAGCAAGTAGAGTCTTGACTGTATTGACTTTGCCACTGGAGAATAAGTGTCAAGAAAGTCTATACCTGGTATTTGAGTAAAGCCCTTAGCCACTAACCTGGCTTTATACCTTTCCACACTCCCATCTGGATTCAACTTCACCTTAAACACCCATCTGCACCCCACTATTTTTCTGCCTGGAGGCAGATCCACAATGTCCCAAGTGTGATTCTCCTGCAGGGCATTCAACTCTTCAATAATGGCCTTCCTCCACCACTCATACTGCATGGCTTCTTCAAATGATTTTGGTTCAATAAGCTGGAGAACACTGAGGGCATAGGTTTGATAGGATGAGGTGAGGTTTTGGTCAGAAATGAAATTGGTTAAAGAGTGTTGGCTTGTATTTGTTGGTTTGAGGTTAGGTAGGGTTGTTTTGTAGTTTTGAATGAGGTATTCTGGTGGTTTAGAGGCTCTTTGAGATCTTCTAGGTATTGGTTCTGGGTCATTGGGAGGTAAATTAGTTTCATGAACAACTTCCTCTTCTTCCTATGGTTCTTCCTCTTCATCAAGGTTCTCTAATGGTGATGTGGAAGGTGATGGCAAAGGCTGAGGATCAGGATTTGGGGAATCTGGATTTTCTGGTGGTGGAGTAAAGGGGTTTTCTGGTTCTGGGAATGGATCAAAAGAAGTAGGTGAAGGAGCAGTGTGTGTGGAGTCACTAACAGGATGTAAATGATCCTTCTTGTATGGAAGTATCTGCTCATAGAACTTTACATCCCTAGAAACAAACACTGCATGATTTGATAAATCTAGCAGTTTATAGCCCTTCATACCTGGGGTAAAACCCAGAAACACACACTGTCCGGCCCTTTTCTCAAACTTTTTCCTTCCCTGAGAGAGTGTTCCAGCATAACACAAGCATCCAAAGATTCTTAAAACACTATAATCTGGTGCCTTCCCATACAGTTTCTCAAATGGTGTCAGATTCTCCAACAAGGGTGTAGGTAACCTATTGATCAGAAAAACTGCATGCAAGACACAATCTCCCCAGAAAGATAATGACAATCCTGCATGAAATCTCAAGGCCCTTGCTACATTAAGAATATCCTGATGTTTTCTTTCAACTCTCCCATTCTGTTGTGGGACTTCTACACAAGAAGTTTGATGTAGTATTCCATGTTCTCCATAGAAACCAGGCATATGAAATTCCAAGCCCTGATCTGACCTTATGGTCTTGACCCTTTTACCAAAGTGAACATTCACCATAACACAGAAATCTTGAAGTAGTTTTCTAGCTTCAGATTTAGCTTTCATCAAGAAAACCCATAAACATCTACTGTAATCATCAACCACAGTTAAGAAATAACGAAATCCATTGTAACTTAATACAGAATGTGGACCCCAAATGTCAACATGGACAAGATCAAAGGGTTCTACAGAAACTAAACTGCTTAAGTCAAAGGGCAGTTTCTTTTGCTTAGCAAAATGACAAGTCTCACAATGGTCTATTACATATTTTTCTACTACAGGATTGGATTTCTGGATGATGTTTTGCCTCAATGCAGAAGGATGTCCTAGCCTGGAGTGCCATAGATCAAGGTTCTGTTGGGAGAAGTTATAAGCTGCTGCTATGGTGGGAAGATTGTTTCTGGCATCTGGGATAGGAGAAATGCATTGAGACATTTGGTAGAGACCTCTAACTTGATGGGCCAAGCCAATCCTCCTCCTGGTAAGAAGGTCCTGAATTTCACAGAATGAGGATTTGAAAGTGAGTGAGACTGGCAAGGTTTTGGTTAGTTTACTAACAGAGATGAGGTTGAATGAAAAAGATGGGACATAGAGTACTTGGTGAAGGACAATGCTACATGGCAATTTGACAACACCTATGTGAGTGGCCTCTGCCTTTTGGCCATTAGGTAAGGTCAGAAACACATTTTTGATTTCTTTGTGTGCAAGGAAACCCGACAAATTGCAAGATATATGGTCTGTGGCACCAGTATCTACAATCCACATATCATGCAATTTAAAAGATTGAGATTGTGCTCCTGTAAGAAGAGTTAACTTGCCTGCAAAGTTGGGGAAAGTAGGCAATTGTCGAGAAACAGATTTTGCCTGTGGTAACATCCCAGGGGATCCAGGCCTTGTGGAACTTGGAGAAGTTGTAGGAGAATGCTGCAGCAAATTGAGGAGTCTGTTGCAGTCTTCAGTGCTGAGTTTGAGGTTTTTATATCCTGTGCCTTCCTCATCAGAATTCCCCTTAGAAGAGGTATCTCCAGTTGGGTTTGACACTGAGCCAGCAAAGTTGCTGTGACCTGATTCCATCATTTTCTTGTTCTTAGCTTTCAGCTTCCAACAATCTTCTTTAACATGGTTATCTTTCTTGCAGTATCTGCAGAAAAGTCCACCTTGAGATGGTGCTGTACCCTTCCTCTGATCTCTTCCCCTGCTTCCATCAGCTGCTAGGGCTATCCCTTCATCACCTTTGGTCCCAGTACCATGTGGATCTAGCTGTCTTTCATGTTGCAGGACATAACTGAATGCAGACCCTATGCTAGGCATAGGCTTCATCATCAACAAGTTGGTACGCACCCCCTCATAGTTGTCATTCAAACCAGTAATAAACCTCATAACATAATCATCATGTATAAACCCTCTAAGGGTATTGAGAGCCACAGTTGCTGGACAATCTTCCTGAGGACAAGCACTACACACAACTGTCCTGTACTGGACATATTCTTCCCAATATGTCTTAAGCTTGGTAAAGTATTCATTAATACTAGAGCTACCTTGCTTGCAAGTAAAGATCTGAGTCTGTAGATCTGCCAACCTAATTGCATCTGCCTGACCATATCTCATTTTCAGATCTTCCCAGATCTGATATGCATTCTCAGTACTAGGCACACTCTCAGCAGTTGTTTCATCAAGAGAGTTAAGAAGCCAGCCTAATACCTGAGTGTTGTTAGCATCCCATTCTTCAAAGCTTGCATCAGTAGCATCAGGTTGTGGTTTTGAGCCATCAATGTATCCAAGGCGTTTCCTTGTCTTGAGAGCTATCCTCAGAGATCTGCTCCATAAGTTGTAGTTTCTTCCGTTGAACTTGATTGAGACAATAGACTGTGGCACCAACTGATCTGTTGAGCTAGAAGAGTTGGTTGAGGTAGCCACTGTAGAGGACTGTGAAGGTTCAGTACTCATGATGTAGAAACCCTAGCAGAGTACTAAAGGTGCTCTGATACCATAAGAATAGGGTTGTGTGAAACCTTTTGTTTCATTGAATTGAGAAGAAGCTTTACAAGCAGTATATATAGGCTACACTACAAGGAAACCCTACCATTTACAACGGTCACTAAACAGTAATTAGCTAACTATTATCAACAAACAATTGAAATCAGCCAATGAGAGGAACACGGGTGGCTAAGCTCGATTGAGCTAAAGTGAGCAAAAAATGGGACGACGTCGTGCTGTGCAAACGACGTCGTAGTGCGCTTCTTCAAGCAGCAGAGACAGCTGATCTCTGAAGTGGGCTTCGCTCTCTTCTGTCTTCGTGTTGGGCCTGTAAGTCAGCGAGGCCCACTACCCATCTTCTTCTTTCCTTTAGATAAATTCTTGGCATTTTGGGTGTTGAGTGGTTGAGGCTTCAATTTTGTTTCTGGTACTGTTTTTTCTCGGGACATTTTTCGGGGGAAAAGTGAAATTTTTGTAGGACGTGTGATGAATGGCACAATAACCTGCCTTTCAACGTTAAAAGGGTCTATGGGCATATCGAATGAATTTATGTATCCATTGCCGTCTGAATTTATACCCAGAAAGCAAGAGTCAAGAGCTTGAATACAAAAGATTGCAGCCGTAGCGATAATTCATAACGCAAATCCTCGTTACCAAAGAAGAATCCAAATGACAGCTACATATATGGGGGTTATTTATTGAAGAGTTGGATTCCCACACGACTCATAAAGCAAAACTAAATCATAAAAGAGAAAGAAACTAAGAAGATCAACAAAGCTAGAAAATGTGCGTTTTATCGGCCGAACGGGCAAACCGGCTAACATGAATTATAACAACCTCGACGTTGCCGGACGGTGGAACTTATGAGAGGGACGAGCCATTAGCTCGTATAAATGGATCGCTAATTAAACCAACACCACATAGGCACATACCTCCTCGCAAAGGAAGGGAAAAAAAAAGTTAGTTAAAAATTAAGAAGCCAAGATACATCGATCGAAATGGCCGGTAGTCAAAAGAAAGTAACGGCGTTGAGTGTGTTGGCTGTAGTGATTGTGGGATGTTTTATTCAGAGTGCCAACGCCAAAACTTGCAGCGGCAGCGTTAGTGAGTTTGGGTATGCAAGTGCGGTGACGAATATTCTGACGACGTTGGCTAGAGTGACGCCGGGCAGGCCCACTTTTTCATACGATACTACGTACGCCGGTACGATTGGAGGAAGTGCAAGTTGTCGGGGGAAGAAAGTGCAACCCTGCATCGACTGTCTTGGTCGTCTCCAGTCGCAGCTCTCTTCTTGCACCAGCAGCCGGAAGGGAAGCTGTTCCGAGGCTACTTGCACCATGTCTTTCCACAAGCTCTAGTTACGTACGTCCATCCTTAGACGACGATGGTCATTTCCGTACCTAGTTTGAAAGAATAGTCATTTCCGTGTGTTTCTTTTCTTTTTTTCCCCCCTTTTCGTCCTTTCATTTTAGGTCTCTTAATTTCGAGCGCTTGAGTTTTTTTAGTACGCAAACTTACCTCAAAGTACTGCATGTATCAGTACTGTTATGGTTGTATCTGGATCTCTTGGCTGTGTCAGTAATAAAGCATGAGATAGTTTTCGCAAATCCGTATGGTTGATATTGGGTTTTCTTTTCAGCTTCACATTAGAACGGAAGCCCTCGGCGGCGGGGAGTGAAATTATTTTAACATGAATATTGATTATAAACGTAAACTGCTAACATATTCTTCGTTTTTGAATTAAAAGTACAATACAACTTAAACATTAATGTGAGGGATGCACATAGAGAAGACAATTGGAACCCAAAATGTAAGATTGATAGATATAGAGATAAATGTAGCCTTAGTCTAGTAGAAGCTGAGAGCCTAAACACCATATGGTACACATGGCAAAGCATCACGATCAAAAGTGAGTAAAGGGGTAGCTAGTTTAGACTAACAGCGGTTTAAAAGTTTGTGTGCTAGATTGCGGAGATGCGAATGTGTGGTTCATCATAGTGTGGGCTGACAATATATATTTCTTGCCATAAAATGTCTTTCGCATCGAACTCCGAGGCATTGTTTTTGCTATTGTTGCAACAACGATTCAAAGTCTTTAGGTGCCAGACAAACCAGGGTAATGTTTGCTTCATGGTTCGTAGTGACTTTTATTTACGACATCCGGATTCATATTAAGCATGCAATTTGTAGAATAATCTAGTGGAACGTAAACGTGTATATATATATATATATATATGAGCAAACAAACTACAGTGTACACAACAATACATAGTACATAGGTGAAGAATGTCAACCGCAATTAGCTTCATTAGGGAAAATAAAATCTAGTTTATAGGGATCAAAAGAACATATCGATGCAAAGTGCTTTAAAAAACCTTCATCTTTTTCCATGACCTGCCGGTGTCCTCTCATCAGCTAGTCATGCCGTCTTACCCTAGCAGCGCTTGCCATTATAGAAAAGGGAGCTCAACGGACCCTCTCCGAAATGGCTCGATCCGAGTTGGGTTTGTGAATTAGAGGAAAGGAGAAAGAATAGAGGCAACTCACATCGAAAGTGAAAATATTATACAATTTTTGACATTACAGGGTGACTCAAGGATCCATGGGTTCGGATGACCCACCCATGGATTTGAATCCTAGTAACCAATTGAAAACACAGAAGAGGGAAATCAATAAGCATCATTAGAGAAAATAAAAAAATATGGATATTATAGGCGACAAAAAAACATATTGATGCAAAACACAAAATTCCCTTCATTATCACTCTGCATAGGGCAACTAATACAAATGTTGAAGCCATTCTAACAGTGGTGCTTCTCATTGAGACATCAAATACATGACCCTAGTTTCTAGCAACTATTATTGATTTAAAAGTCAAACGCAATTGCATTTTTTGTCCTTAAATTTGTGGGAAATAACGAAATAATCACACGTTTGATGTTACTCTAAGTAACAATACCGTTTTTACTTGTTCTTTTAATAAGAACCAACCCAAAACCCGTAAATACTGGATTCAATTCTCTTTGATCAGTTTGATAAAGTGGGACAAGTGTTTGACAAAATCCACACCCGATCCAATCCTTTAATTACAAAAGCGGAAAAATGTGTTCTCAGCCTAAAATTTGGCAACACCGATACCAGGTAGAATTACAAAAGGGGGTAAAATTTATCTCTGGCCCAAAAATCATCAACATAGGTTCAACTCGCTTTGAACGGGTTGAATTAGATTGAAAAGGCGGGTAAAATGCATTCTCGATCCAATTCAATGATTACAAAAGTGGATAAAATTCATTCACGCCACCAAAATTGCCAAGGGCAAAACTCATCCTCGACCCAAAAATCATCAATATTGGATTCAACTCGATATAGCGCGGCGAGTTTTTAATAAAATCCACACCAGACCCAATTATTAATTAACAAAGCGGGTAAAATTTTTTCACGGCCAACAATTCAGCAACAACGATAACGGTATGGAAAAAGCGGGTAAAATGCGTTCTCGACCCATTCAATGATTACAAAAGTGGATAAAATTCATTCACGCCTAGTGTCAAGGGCAAAACTCGTACTCGACCCAAAATTTGTCAACATTTGATTCAACTTGATAAAGCGGGGCGACTGTTTAACAAAATCCACAACCGATCCAATTCGTTAATTACAAAAGCGGGTAAAATTCATTCTCGAGCTAAAATTCGGCAACACCGATATCAAGTCGAATTAGATTGAACATACATGAATTTGGGTTCAATTGTCATAAGAGGACATATTTAAAATATTTGATTAATGACCCAATTTGTTAATTACAAAAGTGAGTAAAGTTCATTCCCGGCCTAAAATTTGGCAACACCGATGCCGTGTTGGAAAAGGCGGGTATAATGCGTTCTCGACCCAATTCAATGATTAGAAAAGTGGAAGAAATTTTTGGGTTCAATTGTCATAAGAGGAAATATTTAAAACATTTTATTAATGACCCAATTCATTAGTTACAAAAGAGGGTAGAATTCGTTCCCAGTCTAAAATTTGGCAACACTGATACCGGGTTGGAAAAGGCTGGTATAATGCATTCTCGACCCAATTCAATGATTACAAAAGTGGATAAAATTCATTCATAACACTAAACCCTAAAAGTCCCTAAACTCGTTGTTGTCGCAAAATTTCACACTCAACCCAATCGTTGACACCGAGTTCAACTCGTTGAACAAAATAAAAGAAAACGAAATTAAAACTCGTTCCCGGTCCAAAAAAAATACCAGGTTCAAACCGGGTTGAATTAGTTTGAATCCATTTGAAAAGGAAATAAATTAGTGTAGTGAAAATTACAATAACCCAAAGAGTCCCTAAACTTATGGTTAATTACAAATGGTCACATGTTAAGATGAACAAAATTACAAAAGTGCCACTCCTTGTATGTGACTCTAAGGAATAGTAAAAAAGTTGCTTGTTCTTTTAATATAGTAAAGTAAAAGTAATAGGGTTAATTGCATGGTTGGTCGCTGAGATTACAAAAAATGGTCAAGTTTGCTCACTCGAAATATTTAAATCCATTGGTGGTACTTCAGGTTACTGAAACCGTTCACGTTTGGCCACTCTCCGTCCAATTCTGTTAACTTTTGCTTACGTCGAGGTCAACTCTAAAAGTTGACCGTTAAATGTGTGACGTGGCAATTTAAAAAAAATTACAGCTCATTTCTAACTATGAAAAATAAAATTATAAACTATTAAAATTAAGAACAAAGGGAAACATGGGAATCGGGGAAAAACAGCACTGACGGGCGGTGGAACTGGGCAGGATCAAAGGCGGCTGCCTAGCAAACGTCGGCTTCCCTCCTAGCAGAAACCTCTGATAAAATACCAGCACCGCGTCATTACACCATTGCAGGCGGTTTCGGCCATGTTGCTTTTTATTAGGTGTACGGCCATCGACCCGATTGACAGAACCAGCTGCAGAAAGAGGAAGCGAGCAAAATCGAAAGATGGTGGGCTGCCGAAATTGAGATACATATTCCTTTTCAGGCAAATGGTGAAGAGGGTTTTCAGGAGGGTGGAGAGGAAGATCCTAATGACTTTCATCAAGAGGAAGTACTTAGATACGCTCAAGGTCGCCGCTTAACTTGTTTGATATATGAAATGTGTTTTTTCCTAAGGTTGATAACTAAGATGAGCTCTTTGAACAAATCAAGCAACTGGGTTGCAGGCTGGCTATTGAATCCGGGTCAACTCAATTGAATCATTTTATACAGATTTTTAATAACTATGTGTAAAATGTAATGACTAAAGAGTTTATAGACTAAATTATAATTTATCTTGTGTATCAAATGGTAATTTTATGTTATACGCCTGCATTCACATTTTTCTATATCACTACAAGAAAAAAGGTATTTAGCAACCATTTAATATGGGGTCACATAAACAAGAATAGTGGCCGCCTTATTATTCTGCGGCCATTTTTTCTCGTCACCAGAGTGGTCATATATGTGTGGTCGACGAAAGGAAATGCAAACACTTTCCGAAAATGGTCGTTGAAAGCTTGAGTTTTGACGAC